GGCCCCACCAGTCTCGATCCAGTCCGGAAGCCTGGGTCTCTTTTATGATTTGGAGTTCTGTTCCACATTTTCTCCCAATCTATTCAGGACCTTCTCATGCGATCCTTTTCCAAGCACTTGGATAGCTGGATGCGCTCTAAGTTCTTTGGGTCTCAGGGTTGTGGAGACTGATGTCGGTGTGGCCATTAGACTAGTTGTTTCCATAAGGGTTTTTGCAAATAGCAACCTCCTTTCAAGTTAGTTTTCTATGAGCTATTTGCAGACTACATGCATATGTCCATTATTTATGTAGATGTGTTGTTTGCGCGCGCACACACAAAAGTATCCTCCCAAACTCTGTTTGCACATTTGTGGAATATGAAGTGTAGAGCAGTATGCACCCCTCTTCCGCTATTACTCACTGTGGGGCTACAAGCTATTCTTTTGAGGCACTTTAAGAGGGTCGAGTTGTACATAGGTCCCCAAATTTATTTGGCCTACTGCCCTCGCTTCAGAAAAAAGTTAATGCCTCGGGCATTAAAAACTTTGCGCAATAGCCCATAATTCAAGCTAAAGTGTAGGTGTCTGCTTTTGGATGGTTTCATCGCCTCCCCACCCCCCAGGGATTGGTATCACCCACTTTGGGAAACACTCAGCACAGAACAAGGTATCGAACAAAAAATAAGAGGACCTGGCAGCCAGCAAAGAAGACACAGTATTTTCCTTACCTTGTGAAAACAGCAGTGCCCCATCCCATAAGAGCTGCGGTGGTAATGGCTCACCCTCCATGTGTAGACAGGAAGGCGGCTCCTGCTCTTTTGTGAAATAGACATTTCTTTTCCTGAGGCCTCAAGTTTGACCTAGGGTGAAACATGCCCATAACCATCATCTTCTCAACTCTAAGGCACCTCACCACGATGTGTCTGTCTACCATCACTTAACATATCAGCCTTCTGCAGGCATCCCCAGGGCTCAGGACGTGGCCTTTCGATTGGGGTGGGCCTGAGGAGGAACGACAAAGCAGCAGCCTCTGGCCTTTCCTCTTTCCAGTGGCCCAGAGGGTCAAAGTAACATTTCACGTAAGGTGGACAGAGCTGCTGCGTCTGTTACTGGAGAGTCCCTAAAAGCGCTAGCATTACAATTCTAGTTAACATTTATTGTCAGTACGTAAACAGTGGAATTCAAAAATGTTTTTGTCATTTGGAATGTTCGTAATCCTGAATTGTTTGCTTATGTAAGACCTAAGAGGGTCCTCGGAAAGGAAAGGAGACCCTGAGTGGTGTGAGTGGTTAAGTGCCGGACGTCTAACCAGAGGTTGGTGGTTCAAGCCCACCCAAAGGAAATAAGCCCAGGTGGTCTGCTTCTGAGCGGGCACAGCCCTGGGCGTCCCGTGGAGCAGTTCTTCCCTGCACACAGAACTCCGTGACAACAACAGGATAGGAAGGGTGAGGATTGCGGCCCGGGTGGAGCCGCTTGTCCTTTCTCTCTTACCAAGGAGGTGGCTGCGTGTATCAAACCAAAGTGTTTGGGGCAAGAAAGTCAGGTTTTTACTCTGAGGCTGGAAAAGAAAATAAACATATTATTCTTTGTGGTTTTGTTTTCACATATTCGGCAGGCACCTCGGCCAGTGACCACGTTTCAGCATGCTGAGTCTAGTTTATCGCTCTGGGTTCCAGCCCATCAGCCAGCGTCTCCGGCCCTGGGTCCAGTCCACAGCCACCTCCAGATCTCGTATGTACGGTGGGGCATTGGTTAGTTAGAATGTATTTCAAGCAAGATTTTAAAGAAGGGGAAATTGTTCTTTGGTAGAATTGGACACAGCCAAGAGGCCATTCTAAGTGTTTCTACTGGTCAGTAAGTGTTACTTATGGTCCCCAAATTGCTCTATAGGCTTTTTTGTTTTTGCTGTTGTTCATTACTCTTTTTGTACTTGAGCTTTTGAAGAAAATTGTGGATTCACTTGCTCTTATAAGAAATACTACAGAGGGACCCCGTACACCTCGTGTGTCACTCTGGAGCACTATTATAACCAGATGGTGACATGATGCGGGCAAGATGCATGGCATCTGCACCACAGTCAGCATCTTTGGTGAAGCCCCTTCATAGTCACTCACCTCAGTCCCTAACCCATGCACCAGTAATCCGTTCTCCATTGTGACGTTGCCCTTTCAAGAAGGTTATATAATGGAATCATGCACTATGTAACTGGGTAGACAGCTCCGCACCGTTCTCTGGAGATGCGTGTGAGTCGTGTGTGTCAATAGTGGACTTCTTTTTATGGCTGAGTAGAGGTTCGTGTTTGTATATACCACAGTTGAGAGAACCATTTGTACCTTGAAGGACTTTTTTTTTTTTAGGCCATCTGGTTTCTGTTTCTTGCCTACTATGATTAAGGCCACCAGGAACACAATTGTATAGTTTTTAATTCCCTGGCATAAATGTCCAGGAGTGCAGTTACATGGTAAATGCAAGTTGAGTTTCATAAAAAACCACCAAACTGCTTTTTCAGGGTTGGGGGTGAGTTACACCACTTCCACTGCCTCCAGCTGGGTACGAGGGAGCCGGTTCTTGTCATCTTCACCAACACTGGCATTGTATTTTTTTTTTTTTAGCCATTCTGATAGGCTAATTTCTAATGATGTTGTGTCTGTTTTTCCATCTACTTAATTTGCCACCTGTATTATCTTTAGAGAAATTTCTCCACACCTTTTGCTCATTTCTAATGGGATTTTTAAACTATTGAGTTGTGCTTTTTATTCTTATATTTATTAATGTGTTGATTTATTTTCATTTACCCCTGAAACATTGAGAGACATGCATATGAAGTTAATGCATCACAAGGATTTTCCTGTTATTAAAAAAAAATTTTTTTTTGAGCCAAGAAGCCCAGGGACAAGGGAACAACAAGTGATCTAAAATCAATGTTGAGGAGGGCATATGATGCCTAGTGGAGGGCATACATTGATCAAGTGCAGTATAGCTAAGAGCCGAATGAAGGTCAAACATGATAGTGGGATAAGAGGAAAGTAAAAGGAAATAGAGGAAAAAACTAGGAGGCAAAGGACATTTATAGAGGTCTAAATATAGACCTGTACATATGTAAATATATTTGTATATAATGATAGGGAAATAGATCTATGTACATATATTTATATGTTAAATACTAAGGAAGCAGAAGGACATTGGGCTTCTACTCAAGTACTCCCTCAATGCAAGAACACTTTGTTCTAATCTGGCATTCCGTGATGCTCACCTTCCCAACACAATCGCTGAAGACAAAATGGGTGCATAAACAAATGTGGTGAAGAAAGCTGATGGTGCCCAGTTATCAAAAGATATAGCATCTGCGGTCTTAAAGGCTTGAAGATAAATAAGTGGCCATCTAGCTGAGAAGCAACAAAGCCCACGTGGAAGAAGCACCCCAGCCTGTGTGATCATGAGGTGTCAATGGGATCATCAAAGACCCAGAACAAAAAATCGTATCTTTGTGAATGAGGGAGAGAGTGGAGTGGAGACCCAAAGCCCATCTGTAGACAATTCGACATCCCCTTACAGAAGGGTCACAAGGAAGAGACGAGCCAGTCAGGGTGCAGTATAGCACTGATGAAGCATACAGCTTTCTTCTAGTTCTTTAGTGCTACCCCCCACTATCATGACCCCAAATCTACCTTACAAATCTGGCTAGACGAGAGCATGTACACTGGTGCAGATAAGAACTCGCAACACCGGGAATCAGGACCAATAATGAGAGTAGTGATACCAGGAGGGTAACGGGAAGGTTGGGGGAGTAAAGGGGGAACCAATCCAATGATTGACATAACCTCCCCACCCACCCACCCCCGGAGGTGGGTGTGACACACAACAGAAAAGTGGGTGAAGGGAGACAGTGGTGGGTGTAAGACATGAAAAAAGTAATGTATAAATTATGAAGGGTTCATGGGGTGGGGAAGAGAGGGGGTAAATAAGCTGATACCAAGGGCTCAAGTAGAAAGAAAATACTTTGAAAATGATGATAGCAGTATGTACAAATATGCTTTACACAATGTATGCATGGATTGTGATGAGCTTTAAGAGCCCCCAATAAAATGATTTTTTAAAATTTATTTTTAATGTTAAATTTTCTCCTTTCTTAGACATTCACTGTACTTCTGATTCTTCCTATTTTTAAATGTCACTCTAATGAACAGCCTCCTGATAAATCTCCTTGTCCCCAACTTTGATGAGTTTCTTTGAATCAATTTCTGAACTTAAAATTGCTGGGTTAAAAAGATGAACATTTTTATGGCTTTTAGTACAATTTGACAACATGTCTTCAGGAAAGGCTACTTATACTTAGCTTATATTCTCTCCGGCAGTATTTAAATATGCCTGTGTCCTGGGTACTTGGCACACCCTCCCATCCAGTAAGAGTTAAGATCATGCTAGTTCTAGCTTCTAATAGATGACTTTCACTCAGTTAATACTAACAAAGCAATTTTGGGTGGCAAACTGTTTGCTGATGTGCATGAGTCTTTAGATGGAATTATCCTGTTGTGTGTTACATTTCCCCCCTGTATGTCACTCTGTTTGGGGCTACAGACCGCGTCCAACCTGCAGCCATCAGCCATGCTCGTTCCTGGAGCAACATCCCTTTCATCACGGTGCCCCTCAGCCGTGCGCAGGGCAAGTCCTTTGCACACCGCAGTGAGCTGAAACATGCCAAGAGAATCGTGGTGAAGCTCGGGAGTGCCGTGGTGACCAGAGGGGATGAGTGCGGCCTAGCCCTGGGACGCCTGGCATCCATTGTCGAGCAGGTAATTGCCAGCGTGGGAAATTCTGCCAAAGTAAATTTTACAGAGTTTTCCGTTGTTGACTCAGCCCTTTTGGCTTGTAAAATTTTGATTGCAGTGTAACAGATTTCAATCAGTCTGGAAACACCTTTGTGTACACACCAGTGGGAGATGATCTCCCAGGACAGGAAAGAGATTGTCAAGGGGTAGAGGTGGCATTGTGTGGCTCATTCTTCAGGCTTTAGGTTGATTTCGACTCACGGTGACCCAATCAGGACAGGGTAGAACTGCCTCAGTGAGTTTCCAAGACTGTAACTCTTTATTTTATTTATTTATTTTTTTACTGTAACTCTTTATAAGAGTAGAAACCCCTGCCTTTCTCCCAAGGAGAAAAACTACTTGTTTATGTAAATAAAGTTTTATTGGAATGCAGCTATGTTTTACTGTCTGTAGTTGCTTAATAGCTGAGTGAGAGACTGTGTGATCTACAGATCTAAAATATTTACTATCTGATCCTCTTTACAAAAGTTTGCTAATCCTGATTCTTGACCAAAATGAAAGCAGTGGGATTATGATGTGATGTTTAAAGCCCCAAACTGCCAGCCAACCCCCAGGGTCAGTTTCCTTACTAATCGTTTCTGTCAGGCAGGCTTGACTGCCTGAAAATCCACCAGGAAAGTCTGCATTAAGCTCTTCCACAGCCAAAATGTCTAGATCTCGGTGATTGAATCTAAAGGCAAGTGGCTTATGTGGGACTAGGGAGCCTGGCAGTTGGCTCCAGGATGTCTCGTGGACTGTCAGTACCTGCTTGCACGCTCCCCTTCTACAATACAGCCTTTGTCCTTGAGTAAAAACCTTACAGCGTAGCTCTGTGGAATCTGGGTCCTTTAGAATATCTAAAGATTTTAGGAAATCGTTGCCAGGACAGCTGTGGTGGGGAATTTCAATGAAAGAGTCCACCAGAACTGGACAAAAGCAAAAGGACCCCAGCAGCTGCTTGGGCTCCATCCCAGAGGTCCTTAGTACCCAGGTTTAACCAGGTTGCTGTCACGTCCGGCATTCCCCGCCACACACACACACACACACCCACACACACACACACACACACACACACACACACACACACACACACTCTTCAAAGATTCTGATTCACAGCCAGAATTAAGAGTCACTGTCAGAGTAGTTACCTGTTGTGGCCAGGTCAACAGCTCAGCCACTCCTTGGGAGAAAGGCAGGGCTTTTAACCAGGCCTTATTGTAAGATTTTTGTCAGCAGCATGCATGGTACCCCATACACCCAGGGGTCCTGGGGAAGGGACATGTTCAGGAAATGAATTCCAGATGGGGGTCAAGGACAAGAAAGCATGCGAATGGACCAAGGAGGAGTATGGGGGACAAAAATAGTGGATGTTTTTGCAGGGCCCTGAAGCCAAATAGATGAGTTTGGGTTTTATGTGAAAGGCAGGTTGAAGAGATTTAGGAGAGGAGAAACTTGACGAAAACAGCAAGGAGAGCCTGGTGATGATGTAGGTAGCAGCTCACCTGCCAGGGATCAGTTGGCCTAGAGGCTCACTGGATCAGAGCAGAGCTTACGGTGCAGCATAGCCATCTCATCCAAGAATATTTGGATCATGTTAAATAGACTCAGGCGTCAAAAGTAGCTTCCCCTGGCCAAAGCTGAAACAATGTAAACATCAGCAAAGATAAGTGCTGCTAAAAATTTAGACACACAAAATATGTTTAAATCTATGAATTCATAATGATACTTTTTTGAAAAACCTCATTTGTCATCTTTAGAGGATATTACAGGACATTTTTGTTAAGTATTTTGAAAGTGGAAAAGTAAATAGGCAAAATAAGCATTTTTCCAACCTTCCATATGCAAACTGTACATCGTGGTAATCAAATAGTTGATGAAGCATGGTTTCCTTTTATGGAAGTAGTCTAGCCTTTAAATGAAAGGGGGATTCAAACATTTAGCACTTTGCAGCCCCTGAAGACGAAGCTTTCTGCTCCTGTAGGGGCGCTGAGAGCTGTACCTGACTCGATGGCAGTGTTTGGTTATAAATGACTAAGGACCCTGGTTGCACAGCCTCGGAAATCCTCACTGGGCGATTCTCCTGAGCTGGGATCCACTTGAAGACAGCAACCATTTTGTTTGGTTTTAAATGAGTTGTTGGATCTTCATGATGGTCACCAACAACTCTTGACATCATAAAGAGAATTTTGTACCCCTTATTGGACACATACACGGCCCCTTATGCAGCACGTTGGCCAAAACTAAACGAAGCCTGTCTTTGCACTTGGTGTTTTCAGTTAGGTGCTCAGTGCTTGATGTGTCTCTCGGTTAAAGCTTTGAAAAATGTGAGGAAATGTGAACACTGACTGGTTACTGGTTTTTAAGGAATTAATTTTTTTTTGAATATATACATGTACATACATATTCTCGATCTCTTGATCATGGGTTCAAACATCAAAGACCATGAAGATGGCTCAGGTCTGGGCAGTGCTTGGTTCTGTTAAATACAGTATCGCCACGAGTTACAGGTGACTGGATGGCATCAAAAAGTCCACATTACTTGATGAATCTCTTGTGAAAAAGAAAGGAGGGAACCGATTGCAATGATCAACACATAACCACACCCCAAGGGGATGAACAACAAAACTGGAGGAAGGGAGACAGCGGTCTATGAATATGATAGTAATAATTTATCATTTATCAAGGGGTGGGGAAGAGCTGATAACAAGGGCTCAAATAGGAAGTAAATGTTTAGAAAATGATGATGGCAACATATGTTCAAAATTGCTTGATAGAGTTGATGTATGGATTGTTAGAAGACCTGTAAGCGCCCCCAATAAAATGACCTTTCAATAAAAATGTTTAAAAAGAGGGCTTTCCAGTGACTTGCGGAGGCTTGTCCTTTCTGAATACCAGGTGTCGGTGCTGCAGAACCAAGGCCGAGAGATGATGCTGGTAACCAGCGGAGCAGTAGCCTTTGGCAAACAACGCTTGCGCCACGAGATCCTTCTGTCCCAGAGCGTGCGGCAGGCCCTACACTCTGGGCAGAACCAGCTGAAGGAGATGGTGAGTGCTGCTTCCCCTGCCCTGCAGCAGAGGTCTCTATTCCTCTCCTCCAACCACATCTTGTCTGATTGTGTTACAGGCAGTCCCAGTCTTAGAGGCACGAGCCTGCGCAGCGGCCGGACAGAGTGGGCTGATGGCTTTGTATGAGGCCATGTTTACCCAGTATAGCATCTGTGCTGCCCAGGTGAGGGGCACTGGGGGTGGGGGGTGGGGCTGAGAAAAGGGCCTGGGGATCAAGCAGGTGTTGAGCAAGGTTCTGGAGCTAGACCACCAGGGTGCAGACTTGGCTTCACCACTTCTTGGTTGGTGGAAATGAACAAAGTCTTAATCTAACTTTTTTGTTCCTTAGTTTCCTTATATAAGACATAGAGATGGTGTCGGGGCCTGCCTCAGAGGGGTTTCAGAAGGGCTGAATTGAAAAGGAATGGGAGAAGTGCTTTTAGTAGAGTGTCTAGTACGTAGTACAGTCACAGTAAGTGTTAAGTAGCGCTTGTTATACTATTAATTCTTAGAATTACTACAAATGTGAATGTGTCTTTATCTTGAAGACAGAATAAGTAGATAGGTGACTATTGTGATCTCGGACATCTTGCTTCTCCTTACACCCAAATCAGAACCACTATGCCACTACAGGGGAGAAGGAAAATACTCAACTCCACATCAGTTTGAGGATGGTTCCTGTGAAGCAGAGGCCTGACGTGCCTTGACCCTCAAATCTTTATTATTTTTATTATACCAAGTATTTAATTGCCAGGCCTTGAATGAGTGGCTAGGGTATAGAGATCGTATACAAATCAGTGGACAGACATTAATTGCTACAATCTCCTAAATAAACATATTTTCTTCATTTTGCAAATAGATAAGATTTGGGAGCTGGCTACGGGTTAAAAATAGCTTTGCAAGAATTGAACAGCCTTAAAGACACTACAGGTGGTTTTACTTTCTGAAAGTGTTGGATGAGCATCCAAAGTTGTGTATTCCATCTCTGTGTGGTGTCCCCCAAACCTAAAACCGGACGCCACCCTTTTCTCTGTGGTTTCTGAGCAGTTCATCCTTCCCCTCGATTTCATCCGTGCAGATTTTGGTGACCAATCTGGATTTTCACGATGAGCAAAAGCGCCGGAACCTCAACGGGACACTTCATGAACTCCTGCGCATGAACATCGTCCCCATTGTCAACACAAACGATGCTGTGGTCCCGCCAGCTGAACCCAATAGTGACCTGCAGGGGGTAAATGTGGGTGAAGTATTCCTCAGGGCTCAGCATGCGGAAGACACTGACCCCTGCTGTGCTGCATGCACTAACACCGCAGCGTGGCATGAAAAAGGCGACGGAGAAACCTGGAGAGAAGCTCGCGTCCCGGGCTGGTGGTTGCTTAGGCTCCTCTGAAGCCAGGGGCGTGCACTCGGGAGGGTGAGGGGCTGCAGTGCTTCCAGCTGCTGGTGCGGTGAGCATAGCTTGTGTGTGGATCGGCAGGTCGAGGCTGCATGTTTGGGCGTTGTGTTTTGCAAGGAGCAAGAGCCTATAAGAGTTTCCCTCCGTGTCTTCGGGGCCTCACTGGTTTTGCCTGCCAGAGGTTCACAAATGCTGCTGTGAATTTGTTTTGGGACTGCCTAACTCACCTCGTGACTTTTTGCCCACATTCCAGGTCATTAGTGTTAAAGATAACGATAGCCTGGCTGCCCGGCTGGCCGTGGAGATGAAAACTGACCTCTTGATTGTTCTGTCAGACGTCGAAGGTACAGAGCACTACCTTTTTCTTTTAAATGCTGTGTGCGTGTTGGCCCGTCGAGTTGGCACGTCAAGTTTCCCTCCCGACCAGAGTCCTATAGGTCCTCTTAGATTGTGGACCAGTCTTAATTCCTGAGCTGTGCAGTCTGTCAAAGGGTTGTTAAGACTCAGCAGAGGGTGGGCGAGTCTGCGAGATGCAGTTTTCATACGGAAACATCTTCAGGCACTTTCTGTTTGTGCTGTGTTTTCTTTTTGTAATAGTTTTAGTGCAAAGTCACGCATTTAAAGCATACGAGTCAAAGATTTTTAGTATATTCAGAATCGTGGGACCATATCTCTTCTCACATGAAGAACACATTCCTCATTCCAACAAGAAACGTGCCCCCACCATGACAGTCACTTTCCGGTAGCAGTTACCAGTCTACTCTCTGTCTGAGGTCCCTGTCCTGGACTTCTTACAAATGGATCCCACAGTAGGTGGTCCTTAGTAACCGTCTTTCACTCGGCATGGTTTTGGATGCTTCCTTGTGGTGGCCAGGAGCTGTGTTGCATTTCTTCCATTGCTGAGCGGTGCCCCGCTGTGTGGACAGAATTCATTTTATGTCTTCATCCATTAGCTGATGGCTATTAGGGTTCTTCCCACTCTAGCTCCATCACAGTGGAAGATGCCACTGTGAACATTCATGGAGAGTTTTGCCTGAACACATCTGTTTTTAGTTCACCTGAGAGTAGAATTGCCACGTCATAAAGGGACCCTGTTAGTGGAGTGGGCTACAAATTGAACTGCTAACTACAAGGTCAGCAGTTCGAAACCACCATCCAGCTGCTCCTTGGGAGGACAGCCTCAGAGCCCACAGGGGCAGTTCTTTGGTGCCCAGACGGTGAACGTGGCTTGGTTTATAGTAACTCACTAGGCTTGGTTTATAGTAACTCACTAGGCTTGGTTTATAGTGACTCACTAGGCTTGGTTTATAGT